AAAAATGCGTTACTGTGTGTAAGACAACAGTAATGATGAATATCTCTCGCAATCAGGATTAAGAGCTCTTTTGCACAGTTTTAATTTATTTGTAACAGTTAACGTTATGTCTGAAGTTATCACGAAAAAAATGACGGTGAATTTATGTAAAGAAACTTGTTTTGTAGATCACAGCCTGTCAGCCCAATGTTCAAGTGGTTCATGAGGAATGGGGAATCTTCTGAGTAGTCAACCTTTTAAATCCAATCCCTTTGCTCTACAAAACTCTTAAAGCAGACGAGTCTGTCAAAACCACAAGCAGACGATAGCGATTTCCTTCCTCCTTTCCGAGTGAGATCTCGCTGATCACGAGATCCAATATGGCAGCTTTGTGATGTGTACGTGTTTTACGGTGGGTAAAAAATATTTTAACACTTAATTTCCACACTGCTGCCAAACAGATGACATCCTAATAAGAAAATTCAAAATGTAATATGTAAATGCAAGACTAAATACAGACTGCAGTCGCATGAGCTGTGTATGTTTAAAGCAAGGATCAAGTTTGTTTAGTTTGGTCAGCTGGCTGCTCGTCGTAATACGCTCACACACTCACAGTCCAATATTGATGCTCATGTACTTACGAAATAATATCTGCTGTTTTATATAATTGCACCAAAAGCTATATACAGTTTAAAGTCTATTCATCTGAAAGGCAATTCCATGTCATTTCAAGCAGACAGTTTTTATACTGTTGTGATTGTGCTTAACCATTATATTGCCAGTGAAACATATGATAACTTATGTTTTATTACATTTTAACTTAAGATTATGCAGCCTTCCCCACTGCCCAAAACCCTGTGGTAAAACGGCAAAGATACAATGCCATGATACCACCTCAGCTGAAAGACAAATCTAGGTTATACTGTACATCGAAGAGAGTTAATACTTATGTTACATGTACGTAAAAAGATGGTCCCTCACATCCTTCCTAACTGCTCTACGACAATACCCAACAAATCTGGTGATGACTCAGGCAGAGAATTGACCTCTCCACGCCATAGGAGAGGATCTGGAGAACCTGGAGACAAATATGTCCATCAGAAACACAATGGCTCACATGCTATTCTTGACAATACTATTGAAACGTTGAGGACAGCTTCTGGAAATTCATTAAGTAATGGCAGTGCACCGCTAGAGGAGGAAGAAATTGTAAGTGACACAGAACCCCTGCTGCAGCAACAACACAGAGAAGCAAGTAGGAAGCTAGAGGGAGATTTTGATGATGGGCCAGAGTTTGAGTTTCGTTCTCCTCCCCCTGAGACAGAAGAGACAGCTCTGACAATTGCTCTGCAGGTGTTTGTTCCTTACCTCATAGCTGGGTTTGGAACTGTAGGAGCAGGCCTAGTGTTAGATGTTGTGCAGGTAAGACTACAAAAGTTTTGTTTTTAGTCAATTGGCTGGCTGTTTTTTTTTTAAGGGGGGGGGGGGGGG